GGTCTATAGCTTCTTCTGAGTCTCCTGCAGTAAAATGCTCTATACCTAAGTTCTCTATAGCAACTGGTAAGCAAAATTCCTTTACAACTTCTCCATTTCCTTTCTCTCATAACACAATTCCCATATCCCAAAAACAATATGCCATATCACCTATATTATCTTAATCTCACTCACCCACACTCTCTTCTACACCTTCTACAACTAATACTCCATCAAACATTAATCCATCATCATCTACATCTCTCCAATCACCACAAAAAATTCCTTCAGACAAGGTTATTCCCATATGCTCTATTGAGGTGGATCTGTGTCCATCTCAGTATGCTGATAAAACTGAAACATCAGATTCTGTTCTTAATATGCACCCCATGATGACAAGAGCAAAAACAAAGAGCAAAGCATCTTGTCCTACAATTTTTACAGCTATTAGTTCTCCTCTGACTGAACCAGCATTAGTTTATGAAGCTCTTAGCTTGCCAGAATGGAAACAAGCCATGCAGATTGAATATGATGCTTTAATTGCTAATAATACCTAGACTCTTGTTCCCTTTACCTCAGATATGCATGTTGTGGGAAATAAATGAGTTTTTAGAGTCAAATATCATGTTGATGGCGCCTTACAAAAGTATAAAGCAAGATTAGTTGCAAAGGGTTTCCAACAAACTGCTGGATTAGATTATTTTGAGACTTTTAGTTCAGTCATAAAACCCTCAACCATTAGGATTATTTTTACCCCTGCTGCCACATACAATTGGGATATACAACAAGTGGATGTCAATAATGCTTTCTTGAATGGTGAGCTTAGTGAAGTTGTATATATGGAACAACCTTCTGGTTTTGTTAATCAGCATAGAGTTTCTCATGTTTGCAAGTTGAATAAGGCCTTGTATGGTCTTAAACAAGCTCCTAAAGCTTGGTTTGACAAGTTCAAAGTAGCTCTGATCTGTAAAGGTTTTCATAATTCAGTATCTGATTCTAGTCTCTTTATGCATAAGGAAAATCATCAGGTTACATATGTCTTAATATATGTTGATGATATTCTTCTTACTGGATCAAACATTCATTTTGTTCATCAATTGGTGAAAGAGCTGAATGATAAATTTGCTTTGAAAACACTTGGTTCCTTACATTACTTCCTGGGTCTTGAGGTCACTAGAAATGCAGTTGGGATTCATCTAAAGTAAACTAAATACGTTACTGATTTGTTGCTTAGAACATGCTTGAGGCCAATCCTTGTTCTACTCCCATGGCCTTTGGTACTAAATTGTTTCCTGAAGACAGTCCACTGTATGACAATCCTAGTCTGTTTCGAAGCACTGTAGGAGCTTTGTAATATTTGCTTCTTACTAGACCTGATATTAGTTTTTCAGTTAATAAACTCAGTCAATTCCTTCAAGCTCCCAGTGACCTGCAATGGCAAGCATGTAAGAGAATTTTAAGGTATCTTAAAGGTACTATCAGCCATGGTTTGCTCTTTAGACCAGCAGCTAGTTTAAACATAGAATGTTATGCTGATGCAGATTGGGGTAGTAGTATTGCAGATAGGAAATCCACCAGTGGATATTGTGTATTTTTGGGGCCTAATTTGATTCAATAGAGCTCTAAAAAATAGAGAGTGGTTGCCTTGTCATCCACTGAAGCAGAATATAGGGCATTGGTACAAACAACTACTGGAGTAGCTTGGTTACAAAGTTTATTTTCTGAATTGGGTCTAACATTTGACAAATCTCCGGTTGTTTGGTGTGATAATGTTAATGCAGGGGCCTTGGCAACAAATATAGTTTTTCATGCCCGGACAAAGCATATTGAGATTGATGCGCATTATATCTGTGAACAAGTTCTAGCCAAGAAACTTGTAGTTCAATATGTTCCCTCCAAGTTACAAATTGTAGATATTTTAACAAAAGCTTTGTCCATTTCTCAATTTCTTACTTTAAAGCAGAAATTGAATGTTGTTGATCAAGGTACAAGCACCATTGGTTGATTAAGTTGCTTTGACTGAGTAATTTTGGGTTAGTAGTTATGAAGATGAAGATTGCCGGTGTTGAGTTCTTGAGCTGTGAAAGTTGCTGTTGCAGTTATAATTTTGCTATGTAGTTGAAATTTTGCAGTTGTTTTGGTTGAGTATTTTTTTTTTTTTTTTTTGTAGTTAGTTGAGAAATTGTAGTTTTTCTGTGTTTGTTGAAGAAATCTGTCGATTGAGCAAATGTGAAGCTGTTTAAAAGTGTAGATTCAAGCTGAAAAATGTACAACTGTATGAAAATGCAGCTGTGAAGTTGTAAGACCGAGACATTACAGAATGTTATTGATCAAGGTACAAGCAACATTAGTTGATCAAGTTGTTTTTGGCTAAGTAATTTTGAAGATGAAGGTTGGTAGTTCTAAAGATGAAGATTGCTTGTGTTAAGTTGACTTGCTATGGAAGTTGCAGTTGTAGTTATAACTTTTGCTGTGCAGTTGGAGTTTTGCAGTTACTGTGGTTAAGTAATTTTTTGGCTTATCAAGTTGATTTGTTGAAATTTCATTTGTAAAGAAATCAGCAATTGAGCAGATGTGAAGCTGTATAACAGTGTAAATGTCAAGCTGTGAAATGTGAAGTTATATGAAAGTGCAGAACTGAAACTGTGAAAATGAGAAATTGCAATTTGTTGTTGAAATTGCAAAAAAAAAAAAAAAAAAAAAAATTGCAGATTGTTGTTGAAATTGCAGAGAAATTGTAGATTATTGTTGAACAGATGTTAAACTATATGAAAAAGTGCTGCTGTGAAGTTGTGAAATTGTGTGAAACTGTGAAATCACAGTTGTGATGTTGTGAAGCAGAAATTGGCAAATGATCAGCAAGTTAATCTCAATTGACTTGTAGCTGAGCAGATGTGAAAGTTGTATGAAAGTGCAAAGTGAAGCTGTGAAAATAAGAAACTGTATGAAAGTGCAGTTTGCAAATAACTGATCATCTTGTTATGAGGTGTTGGTATCTTGTTATGAGGTGTTGGTCTTAGTGGCAAGTTTTATTTGACAGGGGCTGTTAAGACACATTTTATCAAGATGAAAGATGAAACTGTAAATGCAGTTTAGCTTGATTGGGGCTGTTAGACAAACGGTATTTGTCCAAGCTAAAACTGCAAGTAGAGAGTAGAGTTTAGCTTGACTGGGGCTGTTAGACAAATGGTATTTGTCCAAGCTGAAACTGCAAGTAGAGAGTAGAGTTTAGCTTGACTGGAGCTGTTAGACAAACGGTGATGTTTAAGAAAGGTTAAAGTGTCGTCGTTTTTATGTTGAAATAATCAGCTATTAAAGCGGACTTGTAACACTGTTCACTTTATCGAAATATTAAGAAAAGTTCTAATCCCTCTTTTCTCTCTATTTTTGCTCTCAAATCCCTAACCCTCATAGACCCCAATGTCATTATCTATGTTTTGATTTGTTTTGTCTTGTTTTACAGATTCAATTCATTTGAAATCCAGACTTCTCTATATAAAGAGAAGCTTATGTACATTTTTATTCAGAGAAAAATTAATAATATTTTCAGTTTGTGAAAAATTTATTCTCTCAATATCTTGTTTTACTTTTGAATTGCAAACTTGAGACAAAGAAAAAGGTTCATTCAAGAAGATTGATACCCAAGTATGAATTAATATTTAAAACTGAATCTATGTGTTTTTCTCTCCAATTAATTAACTAGGTTATTTAGTTATTAATTGTAATAATATTTGTTAGACTGGATATAAAAAATATTATATAGGTGTAAATCGTGCAATGTACGTAGCTTTCCTATATAAGAGTATGTTCGCCTTAGGAAAAACTCACATTTTCAGATAGTAATTGTGATTAATTGAAAGAAAAATCATTTGTTAAATACTAGCATCTTACATTAATGATCATAAAAAGCTTACTCCAGCATCTTAAATACTAGCATTTATTAAACTCGAAATGATCATTTATTAAATACTAGCATCTTACATTAATGAAAGCGCTAACTTACAGTTGCTAAGATTACTCCAGTATCAGCCCTAGGTTTTTGATCCAACGGTTCGCCAGGGCCCTTAGACCTTGACCAAGGGTTGAAATTGGGGGATAACGGTATTAGTAATAGCTCACGTAAGAGCCAAAACAGCAGTATGGATGGTAATTGATAATCATTCTGGAGAGAGATGCCACGTCCTACTGTGGAAGTGCTAGAAACATGAAGGAGAACTATTTTTAATTAATTTTCACGATTTTTAAATTTAAAAACAGCCTCCTCATATTGGGGCTGCTGTTCTATATAAGAGTGTGCTCATAATGAAGAAGAAACTCGCAAGTACAACATTCGGGATTTGTTCAAAGAAGAAATGTCGTCTTCTCAAGTTACAGCTGTTTCAACTTCACCACAAAAAACTATTCGTCATACTGCTGATTTCCATCCCACAATAAGGGGAGATCAATTCCTCAAAGATACTTCTGAACTCAAGGTAATTACTATATGAGATTAAATTTCTAGATGCACCCACCCTATGCATGCACATCACACAGGTAAAATGAATGCGACTCACATACTACATAATTTGTATAATTATATATGCATTCTTTTCTTTTACCAAAACGTAATTATCGTACCATTTTATGCAATGTCAATTGACAAATAAAGGGTATTTTTCTCCAATTGGTTGTTGCAAGATTACCAGAAAGAAAAAATGAAATAAAGATGCATGTTCTATATGCAAACATGTGTTTGAGACATTATAAACACGTTGTTATTATTATTATTTTTTTTTTGAAAAAATGGCCTGGCTAAGATACGATGCCACTTAAATTTTGATATAAAACCGTTACACTTTTGGGGATCATATTGATATTTTGCATTTTTTTATCGTTAATATATATCATTGCTACATGCCATAAATATTGTTGATTTCATAATTACCGTTTTACCTAAAAATATTGTTGATTTCACAATAAACGTAATTAGCTTTTTTTTTTTTTTTTTTTTTTTTTTTTTTTTTTTAATTCTATTTTTGCAGACAATTGATCCTACAACTCAAGAAGATTATGAGCAACTGAAACAAGAGGTAAGATGGATGATAATGGATACATCACAAACGCATGCTCAGAAATTACACTTGATTGATGCAATCCAACGGTTAGGTGTGGATTATCACTTTCCAAAAGAGATAGATGATGCTTTGGAGAAAATTTATAGTGACAATATTGAATATAATGATCTCTATACTGTTTCTATCCATTTTTGACTTCTTCGACAGCAAGGAATTAAGATTGTTTGTAGTAAGTAATTCAAATCTTAAGCTATGCTAAAAATTATTATAATTAAAGCGTACTGAACGAATAAATAAAACGTCTAATTGAAGGTTACTTTTTGTTTTTTTTTGGGGGGTTGTAATTAAGCAGATGTATTTGAAAAGTTCAAAGATGATGAAGGGAAATTCAAGGCATCCTTGATTAAAGATGTTCCTTGAAGCCCTCACTTTTCCTACGACTCACCTTAAGTCAATGGTGTCTTGTGCAAGCCCTCACCCTGCAAAACAAATAAATCACGCTCTTAATTGTCCTCTCCGGAAAGGCCTACCAAGGCTAGAGGCAAGATTTTTCATTTCTGTTTATTCAAGAGATGATTTACACAATAAAACTCTGTTAAAGTTTGCCAAGTTAGACTTTAACATGTTACAAGCAATGTACCAGAAGGATCTCAAAGACGTCTTACAATAAGTTCCTCTTTGTCTAATGGAATTATATTTTAATATTACCAAGGTATATTTTTATGGTTATATAGTTGAAGATGTATTTCAGGTGGTGGAATAATGTAGACTTCATTTCAAAGCTGTCTTACGCGAGACAAAGAATGGTGGAGGAATATTTTTGGGCACTGGGAATTATTTTTGAGCCACAATATGCATTTGGTATTAGGAGTATGGCCAAATTAATATGTCTGTTAACCCTCATAGATGATACATACGATTTCTATGTTAGAATTATTTATAATTCTTATAAAGTGGTCCATGTGAATTAATATAATAAAACGTTTAGTAATAATTAATTTAATTGAAGGGCATACTGGTCTTTAATATTTGATGGGAAGGTTACATCAGTTATTAAAATAACTGATGTTTGCAGTTAATTAAATAACTGCAATATAAAAGTTGAGTCCTCTCTCTATTCCCAATGTACGCTAAAATTTTTCTCTGTCCATCGAGAGAGTTTGCGATTACAGAAGGGAAGAAAGGGAGATAAACTCTGTCTATTTTGATTCAATCAAGATTCAAGTTTTAATTTTCAAACTATGGAATCAGATATGTATTTCTTTTATATATATATATATATGTGAAAATTCATTAAGTTTCAAGATCCTATAATTTTATATTTGTGCAACTTAGGGCATAGAAACATGAATTGATTGTTGATTCTTTACTTTTGATGAGTTTGTTTTTAAGTTTACAAGTGGTATCAGAGCAATTTCAGGTTTAGAGATTGATGAATTTTCCTTTAAGTTATTTTTAGGGTTCTTATGGGATGTAGAAATTATTTGGGTTTTGGAAATTGTGAAATAGGAATGATTTGGGTAAAATAGATTTAAGAAAGTAGTTTGGGTTTAGAAATTAACAAATTGGAAGGCCGTGGTAGATTTTTTTTTTTTCTTATTCTGAAATGCAAATTTTCAGAATCCAGAAGCTTTTTTTTAATAAAAAAAATTCCAGAAATTCGGAATATGAAGCTTACCTAATTTTCCAGAAATTCGGGTCAATAATTGACCCATAAAATATTGACCCAGCCCATAACCCATAAAGAATCCCAACCCTTTTTGGTCAAACAAGTCAACCCAAATAGGTTAAAATGGGCTGACTCGAACCGAAAAAGTGGGTCAAATCGACCCGGTTAGGATCTGAAAAGGTGAACTGGACCGGTCAACAGGTTGAACCGGTTCAGACTATTGACTAAACCAATTAATGGTTAAAGTTAACGGTCAACCGTCAAAGTTAATGGTGACAATCAAAATTAACAATGAGGGTCGAATCAACCCAATTTTGTCCTTAATGTGCGTTTAGGCACGTGAAATGTGTATAAGTTTCTAAAGAGAAAGATAAGTATGACAACCTTATAGTTATTATTTAAGTTTGATAACTATATTATGTATATTTTGTTAGTCACCAAAGTGGCCAAATTAAAATGTTTATCCCATAGATATCAAACTAAATAAGATTCAATTACTCATGATCATTAGATGCTTTAATGAGATGACATAATGTATTGGACATGAGTAATTTGAAGTTTATATGTTATAGGATAGTTAAGGATAGCCCAAAGGTAGATTAGTTAATCCTATAATTATGAACAATGTACTTGATTAGGCGTGTTTAGTATATCCAAAGATAACAAACATGTCTAACTAAAGTACATTTAATTACCAATTAAGAAAACTTATAAAAGATTGCATCAATTAAGTTTAATTATTGTATATTGTTATTTCTCTCAAAGGAGATTTTCAATATATATTTATGTTTTAATAATAATAAATTTTAATATTTGAATCTGAAATTATGTATAAGGTATAAAACTCAAAGCACTAATGTGTAAGCATAATTTTTGTTTATGCAGCATGTTATTAAGTTTAATGGGTTCAATTATAATGAATGGAGTGAACAAGTCGAGTATTACTTGGGTGTTTAAAATCTCGACCTTACACTCATGACAGAGAAACCAACTGATCTCACTGAGAACAACATTGATGAAGAAAGGTCTTTCCATAAGGAATGGGAGAGATCGAATAGATTGAGCCTGAAATATTTACGGATGACAGTAGTGAGTGAAATCAAGACCTCACTTCCTACCACAGTGCTAGGGAATTTATGAGATTAGCCAAAGAGACTTCTCAGTCTGAGGTCGCTGACAAGTCCCGTACGGGGGCATTAATGAGTTGGCTGACCACCATGAAATATGATGGTTCTCGTAGCATGTATGAACATGTGACTGAGATGTCAAATATAGCAGCAAGAATTAGAAACATGGGAATGTCTGTGGACGAAAGTTTCCTTGTTCAGTTTGTCATTAACTCTTTAACTCCTCAGTTTAGTCCATTTCAAATTAATTATAGCACAATTAAAGATAAATGGAATATGATTGAGCTTCAAATTAAGTTAGTTCAAGAGGAGGAAAGATTGAAGAAACAAGGAGTTCATTTTGTTAATCTTGTGGGCTTGTCTGGAGTTAAGAACAAATCCAACAAGAAGTATGGAAAGGACAAAAGGCCACTGAAGATTAACGAGTCTTCTTCCCAAGTCTATAAGAAGGATAAGACTAAAGAAAAGTGTCATTTCTATAATAAAGTTGGACACTATATGAGGGACTGCCTGAAACGTAAGGCATGGTTCAAAAAGAAAGGTAAGCCTAGTGCTTTTGTATGTTTCGAATCATATTTATCGGAAGTTCCTTATAATACTTGTTGGATTGATTCTGGATGTACCACTCATATCTCTAAACTTTGTAGGGATTCCTTATGACCTAGATCATAAACGACAATGAAAGATTTGTGTACATGGGGAATCGAGTCAAAGCATGAGTTGAAGCCATTGGAACCTATCGTTTAATTTTAAATACTGGACATCATTTAGATTTGTTTAATACTCTTTATGTACCGGAGTTATCCTGTAATTTAATATCTTTATCTAAACTTGATTTAGAAGGATATTCTTTTAAGTTCGGGAATGGATGTTTTAGTTTATTTAAATATAATTGTTTAATTGGTTCTGGTGTGCTTTGTGATGGATTGTACAAATTACATCTTGATAATTTGTTTGCTGAGACATTATTGAACTAGCATCATAGTATAGGAACAAAACGTGCTTCTGTGGATGAGAAATCTGCTTATTTATGGCATAAGCGTTTAGGCCATATATTAAGAGAAAGGATGCAAAGATTAGTAAATGATGAAGTTTTACCTGATTTGGACTTTACTGATCTTGGCGTCTGTGTGGATTGTATCAAAGGAAAACAAACCACATCCACAATTAAGAAAGCAGCCACAAGAAGCATAGAACTCCTTGAATTAATACACACCGATATATGTGGTCCTTTTGATGTAGCTTCTTTTAGTGGAGAAAGATATTTCATCACTTTTATAGATGATCTTTCATGTTATGGATATATCTATTTATTGCATGAAAAATCTCAATCTGTTAATATCCTAGAGGTATTCATTAATGAAGTTGAGAGGCAATTAGATAGAAAGGTGAAAGTAGTACAATCAGATGGAGGTGGAGAATATTATGGTAAATACAATGAATCTGGACAATGTCCAGGTCCATTTGCTAAATTCCTCCAATACACAATGCCGGGAATACCGCAACAGAATGGTGTTGCAGAAAGGCATAACCGAATGTTAATGGATATGGTTAGGAGTATGTTAAGTCGTGCCTCATTACCCTCATCATTGTGGATATATGCATTAAAGTCTGCTGTATATTTATTAAATAGGGTTCCTAGTAACGCAGTTCCAAAGATTCCTTTTAAACTGTGGATAGGAAGAAATCCTAGTTTGAGGCACCTGCATGTTTGGGGTTACCCAGCAGAAGTCAAGATTTATAATCCACATGAAAAGAAATTGGACTCAAGAACGACTAGTGGTTTTTTCATTGGTTATCCAGAAAAATCTAAAGGGTACCGTTTTTACTGTCCTAGCCATAGTACGAGAATAGTTGAGACTGGAAATGCAAGGTTTATTGAGAATGGTGAAACCAGTGGGAGTGTTGAACCACGTAAAGTGGATATTCAAGAAGTCAGGGTACAGGTCCCTACGCCTATGACTTCTACTAAGGTTGTGGTTCCTATAGTTGTCAGATGTTCTGATAACAATCAGGAACAACAAATAATTCAGCAAACACTACCTGATAATTTAGTAATCAATGAACCTGTGGTTGGTGAGCCACATGAAGTAGTAAATGAACCACAAGAAATGACATTAAGAAGATCTCAAAGACAAAGGAGATCTGCCATTTCTAATGATTATATGGTTTATCTACAAGAGTCTGAAATTGACTTAGGAATGGAAGCAGATCCAGTTTCGTTTTCACAAGCCCTTAAAAGTAATAATTCTGTAAAATGGTTAGACACCATGAAAGAAGAGTTAAAATCAATGGAATACAATGAAGTTTGGGATCTAGTAGTATTGCCTGAAGGTTGTAGAATAGTCGGGTGTAAATGGGTCTTTAAGACCAAGCGCAACTCTAATGGCAATATTGAACAGTACAAGGCCAGACTTATTGCCAAAG